TTCATTACAATTGCGTTAATTTAAGTTAAATATCACAGTAAAATAATCATATACCTATTTAAACAGAACCATACATGCATGAATTATTGTCAATATTTAATTAAAATATTAAAATATACATGCCACTATTATTGGATACAAAACTAAAAAAGTGCTATTTGTTGGGATCAGAAATCGCTTTTGTATTATCTGTAGTCGAGCTGAAACAAAAAATGAAACTCCAGGCATTCATACATGTTTTCTAAACTGGAAAAAAGCAGCTACCGGTATAGAAGCAGATGGAATAGCTGAGGGCTTTTTAAAAAGTGTAGAGCTACATAAATTGAAGTTCAATAAGCTTATTGGTACGTTATTCAATTTTAAAAACTATTATATACCTACCTATATTAATTTACTTTTGATTTCACAGGTGATGGTGATAGTAGTGTCACTAAAAGACTTAAAGAAATTCTACCCTATGGACCTGATTATATTGTGCAGAAGATCGAGTGCCGCAATCACATGTTACGGAATTATATCCAAAAGTTAACTTTTATTGCAAAAAAAACTAATTATCCTATCAACTTAAGGCAATTTATTTTGAAAAATATATTAAGATTCCGGACTGCTATTGTGACAGCAATAAGACACAGAAAAAATGAAAATGTACCAACAACACAGAAAATTAAAAGTTTGTAAAACATTTTAATTATAAATACACAGTATTACTGTATTGTGGCCGACAGATAAATCATTCAAACACCTCCAAATTTTAGTTATATAGTGACACAATATAATATATATTATTGTAATTTTGTATATATATATTATATATATATATATATATATTGTAATGTTCGAGGTTATATTATTTTAGTTTTTTGCTCGGCCAAAAGCTTTAAAATGTAGTATAAGGTTTCTTATAAATCGTTTATTATAGCTATATAATTATAAATAATAAATAAATATGTACAAACCTATATATGTTATAAATTTAATATTTGTATAAAATTTGTGTATTGTACTAAATGAATATATTTTTTTAGATTTATCAGCCGACTTATTTAATAGTCCGTATCACATTTTTGGCGAACATTCAAAGTGTGACGAATTTTAAAAGAACAAGCAGCCAAAAAAAAGTATTTTTCTACTTTTCTTATTACCTACATAGGTTTATTAAATACCCATAATACTATTATATATAATAATACAATATCATTTTTTTTCTAGATGATTTATTTCCAATATCAGCATCTCACCTATACTCGAATCTATCAACATAATAATGTCTTCTTTTATTTTTGAATAAATAAATATTTTTTAATTTGGGTAGAAAATAAATGCTACTTATTGTCTATTATATTTAATTAGATTATGAGCACGCCCGTCGCTGAGATGAATGATCACATTAGAAATACATAGATACATTGATACAAAATGTTGAACAAAATAATGTAAATAATGTCATATAACAATAATCCTCAATACCTAATATAAAATGTGTAATAATTACAAAATTACCAATGTTAAAAAAAAATAATTCAAACTTAGAATAATATAGGTACACAGGTATTTCATAGTACAGTAGAACCTCGATTATACGAACCTTCTATTATCCGAACTATAATTAGCGTATCCGAACGTTCTGTTATCCGAACATGAAAATTCGTATCCGGCCGGTCGGCCGGTTTATCGAATTTATCATAACTATCGTTTTTGCCTTTTTGGATTATTATTAGTACAGGTTATGTATTTTACGTGCGTCAATCATTAGTAGATAACCAAAACGCAACAGGCTTATCTAAAAAATATGATACATACATATGTAAATAAAATAAATGTAATGTACCTATTTCTTATAATGTATGATAATGTTTTTGATAATGTAATTTATGTATGTAATTCTAATAAAATATTAATAACAATAATAAATATTTAATTATAAAAATAGTAAATAGTTAATACATACGTAATTCTAAATTTTTTTTTTAAATTTCCAATATCCGAACTTTTGCGTATCCGAACTAGGTGCGGTCCCAATTAGTTCGGATAATCGAGGTTCTACTGTATGTATATTTCAAAAGTTGGTAATTATGCTATGAATGTAAATCAAGCTATGTTGTGTATACGTTGTTGTGCTTTATATATTTGTACACATTTAAAAATTATAATGAACATAAGTAAATTAGTAGGTAAGGTAGGTGGTAGGTCGTAGGTTGTGACTTGTGAGCGCAAAGCGAGGAGCAAACGCGCCGAGTGCATAAAATATTATAAGTACACGCGAAATATTATAATATGTCAAACGCACATCGTGACCGCTAGCGTAGTAATAATGTACCGCTCCCGAAAATAGTGCGCGCGGAGTGCCGCCGACCAAGTCGAGGATATAATGGGCGGGGTTACGGTCTGCCGCGACGGCGACGATATAGCGCACAACGCCATCTATTGAGCGTTGTATACGTTTCACTTTTACAGTGACTGCCTCTTAAGGTGAATATAAACAACTTTTTGGAGTGATCTTTAAAGTATTTCCTTTAGTTGGTGCTATTTAAGCAACCTAAATAAACAACTGTATTTATATAGCCGTAAGTAATTGTACCTATCTTTTTATCCCACCTTTCTTTGCACACTTAATGTCTTTGATGCTTTCATAAACGGCTTAACTGTTTCAGTCAGTTCATCAACGAGAACTTTGCTTAATCGATATGTCCCCATAAATTGTCTATCACTTAAAACTGAAATCATAAAATCATATTTAAATTAGCAATAAACACTATAATGTACCTAACTAAAATAAGTTATCATTATTTATAGATAAAATATCTTACCATCAAATGGATTTTCTTGCAACATATATCTTCGAGGCTCAGTGAACCATTCATCAAATATATTATTTTGCATCATATTAAATTGCATCATTACATCAATTTCATCATTAGCCATTTTTACATTCAATAAGACAAAATTGTATTCGTAAAATGTTAACCGACAGAAACTATTAAATCTAAATTTCTGTAAGATAATTATTATTATCACGAGGTACACGGAGAAAATTGAGAAAATGATCTAAACTAAGCTTTTCGCTTCTAAAATACCAGTCGAAAAGAAAAATCGAATACTACGGTCGAAACGCCGATCGAAAACTGTTTGAGAATAGGGATTTTTGAATTGGTCGTAAATATATCCGCTTTCGACCAAATTTTGATCGAAAACCCTTTTCGATTGATTTGAGAATAGCCCCCCAGTATTTTGTTGTATTATACATCTTCGTGGTACGGCTAAAGGTTGGGACACACATAACCGCACCGTAACCGATCCGCGTGTCGGCCGAGTGTCGATTGAGGCACTAATCGTCGTTCACGAACGCACACATATCCGTACCTTGTCCGTAGCTCGTCCGTGCCGCCCATGCCGTTTTCCTACGAGCTTCAGCTGTTTCAGTTGGTTTCAAAATTCCACTCAAAAAAGCATCAATTGGATGCTTAACTGTAGATTCGACTTCTTTTTTAGATTTTTTATTTTCTTCTTCCTTCTCAGCTAACATAAATGCCATTAGCTGGCTTGCTGGAGAATCTATAGTTGTTCCTCCATGAATAATTTTTCGTTTGAGTGGAGGTCTAAATGTATTTTTCTTTACAGATAAACTAGATGATTTGGCTAAAGTTTCTGTTGTAGATCTGAGAGTATCGTCCACAGAATCAGTGAAATTATTTTGAATTTCAGTTATTGATTTGTCGCTTCTGTCTCTGTTATTCTGTTGCTCACATGGTTGTCCACTGAATTCTTCCGAAGTTTCATTATTAGTAATTTCCATTTCATTATTTTGATCCTCTTCAAAATCATCCACGTTGGATAATGTGTCGCGTTCTGAAATGTGTGGTAAAAGAAACTCAAGAATATCTTCATACTTATATTTTCGGTTATTCACAGCAGCCTGTCCAGATGCTGTCTTCCTTTTTTGTAGAGTTCTACGGAACTGATCTCTGACAGAAGACCACTTTTTTTTACATTCTTCTATTCCACCTAAAACATTCAGCAATAGTTATTTTATTTTAAGATTACTTGATGAACATTAATTTTTCAGGTTTCTTGCTACTGGAGATACATTCAAGACTATTTCCTTTAACTACAGATTAGGAAAGTCAACAGTTGCTGCTATTGTTCATGATACCGGCAGAATAATTGTAGATGTTCTATTAATGAAAATGATGCCACTACCAAACCAAGAAAAATGGAACGCTATAGCTACTGATTTCTGGGCTAGGTGGCAGTTTCCAAACTGTATCGGTGCTTTAGATGGCAAACACGTTGTAATACAAGCTCCTAAATTATCGGGATCTCTCTATTGGAACTACAAAAAAACATATTCAATTGTGCTTCTTGCCCTGGTTGATCCTTGTTATAACTTTATTGTAGTAGATGTTGGCTCTTACGGGAAAAATTCTGATGGAGGTATTTTTTTGAATTCAAACTTTGGAAAAGCATTACAAAATGGCAAGCTCAATGTACCGGGAAAAAAAAAAATCCCCCAAACTAATACTGAACTTCCAATGGTTATTGTAGCTGACGAAGCATTTCCACTCAAAACTTACATGATGAGACCCTATCCAGGAAAAGACCTGACGAATGAAAAAAGAATATATAACTACCGTTTGAGCCGGGCGAGGAGGGTATCTGAAAATTGTTTTGGAATTTTGCAACAAAAATTTCGGATATTCACGAGAAGGCTTCAGGGGAATCCGGAAAACATAACGACCTTGGTGTTGGCCTCATGTGTTTTGTACAACTTTATCAGGAAAAATGAAGGTTGCAGTGTTATTCAATACAACCAGAATCAACAAAGTGTCGAAAATTCAGAAATGTTATCGAATCTACATCAGTTACCCCACCAACGTGGACGATATGCTGATGATGCATTTGCTGTACGAGAACAATTTAAACATTATTTTAATTCAATAGAAGGTAGTGTAGACTGGCAAGAACAGATATCATTAGCAATTTAATTCGTATTTAATTTTTAATTTGTATTATTATATAATTTTTGTTATTTGCACTTTAAAGCATATTATCAACGTTATCTGTAATACAAGCGATTTATAAATAAATCTATATTGATTACTTATGTATTAATATAATGTACTATATTTTATTAATAGGTAGTATAATAGATTTACAAAACTTAATAACAATGGATAAGATAACATTAAATATAACATAACACGTGACTTCAAGTTGTATAAAAAATATGTACCCTGTAGTAAAAATATTATGTAGACTTACCTTTAACTGCTAATGTAGTTGAAATATTATTCCAAATTCTGTCTTTATACTCCGAATTTCTATATTTTTCGCTGGTTTGGTCGTATAGGACTGGAAACTTTCGAATTTCTTCAATTAACATTTCTACATCAACCATACTTGCTTCGTAAAAATGCTAGAAACTAGACTAAAGACCTGGATACTGGAAACTGAAACTATAAGTTATACTAACTACCGAATGTTGAAACGGCGAGCCCGCACCGTCAACGTCAATTATTAAAATATTTTAATCGCACTCGGTTCTGTCTCGGTGCGGCGACAGCGCTCGTCCGTGATACGGTGATGTCAGAACTATTGTTATTTATATCATTGCACTATTCATTCACCGAGTGACGGTCAACACTCGGCCGACACGCGGATCGGGTACGGTGCGGTTATGTGTGTCCCAACCTTAAATGGTCGCACGTGCGCGGGTTGCTGCTATTTATTTGTATTTGTTATTACGTCCCCGGCACGAGTCGCGTGGGATTGAATCCGCCATTTAACGTACCACAGGTGAGTTGAGTTTATTATTATGGTCGACGGGTCTTAAAGGTTTATTATAGTATTATTATTATTACTTGTTATAGTTGTATTTATTGTCTATTGTATCAGCCGCATAGGCATACTGCGTATTTATATCTTGTATTAGTCACATAGACAGATTGTGTATTTATATTTGTGTCAGCCGCATAGGCATATAATCTTTATATTATGTTATAATCCATGATTATTATCTTGTTTCGTTATTAAATTGTACAATAAATTTTACTGTTATAAACGCACAAGTATTGTCAATAATATAGTTCCACCCAGATAGCGGCAACTTGTATTGCCTATCCATTACCCACATGGAAATTTAAAAATACAAATATTTTCACAATTTTATTAAATGATTTTGTCGAAAATATTGCCAAGCTGTTTGGAAAATATTTGTTAATCAAATATTTATAAAGAAATATATCCAAATTATTTTCAATACATTGCATACTAAATATTATATTTCTATTTCTAAACAAATATTATGAAAATATTGGTCTGCCAAATATTTAAGCCAAAAAATTTTTAATACATTGCGTATAAAATATTACATAAACATTTTCTACAAACATTTTTAAAATGGTTACTGTCCAAATATTTAAGCTCAGATATAATCAAAAAATTTCTAAAATACTATCTATCAAATATTATGACGTTTTATCTTAGCTTGTTTTTTCAAAATATTGGTCACCCATATATTTTAACTGAAATTTAACCAAAAAGTTTTCATAATATTGTCGTAAAATATGTATTAAAAAAAAATTGAACTATATTTATATAATATTCAACTATGCTTATATATAATAATAATATAATTCATATTATATAATATTGTAGACATGCTTAAAGTATATAAACAATATCCCCATAATTTTCCTTAAAATTATTAATACATTAAATTAATTATAATATTAGGATTTATTATATAATAATAATATAAACTGGAAATTTTAAGACAGATAATATAAAGGCGATCACATTTTCTAAATTTCTTATTAATATACTTACCAAAATTAATAAAGATAGTTCCCATATTGTAGGCACTATCTAATTCAAGATGATACTTATCATAACAAGTATTTTATTGTTTTTTTGCAACTAAATATAAATATAGTGCTCTAAAAATTTGATTATTAAAAAATAATTGAATCATATTTGTTGTTATTACATAGCATTCGTCGGGTAAAATTAAGCTGGAAAACATACATCATAATCAAATAATTAAAATGTACAATAGGTGTTAAAATATAAAAAGGCATTTTTTTCAAAAATTGTATGTGGCAAATATCATTTATTTTGTACTTGTAATAGGTATATACTATAGTACTACCTAACCTATAATATTATATTATATTGTCGATTATATAGTTTGAAATTTAGCCAAGGTTAGGTATTATACTATTGAATATCTCTCAATAATCCATTTTTAGACGAATTTGTTGAATGATTTCTTGTTTATAACCGAGTATAATATTATGACACTAGTTACACATTTTAGATTTCCACAATACACCAATAGCAGTCGTTTTTATAGCTGTTAGTTGTATACTGGTATAACAAAAAATCATAATTTTACCAAACTTATGCGTATTAAGCGTATTTAAACACCTTATTTTTAATCATTTTATCATTGGTATAGGTATTTACTATTTATATTTTTGATTTTAAGTGGCTGCAGGAGCAAGGAAGCTAGTTAGAATCTTTTTATCCAGTAAACAAACATTTTTACCAGAAGGAGCAGGGGCGGACTGGGGCAACTATTCAGCCCGGTAAATCTATATTTTGACTGGCCCTTGCCATTTCGTCACCACAAAATGTAAAACTTAAATATGTTACCAAAGTTATAACAAATGAAGGTTGCATAATCCTCTAGCTACTCTTCTTCAATTTATTCAGGCGCCAACCCTAAGATTCTAAATGTGTTTAGTAGATATTTTATCTTAATTACATTTACCTACAACTGTAGAGTATATATTGTATTAATTTTTCTATTAGGTACCTGCTTTATAACTGAGTCACAATAGATAACAAATAAAACATAGGTCGATCTTTAAACTGCTATAACTTGATTTTTCTATAAGTTTCCTTTCTCTCTCTCTGATTTTCTCAGCCCTACTCTTTCTTATGGTTTCTATTTTAAACAACCAATAGTGAAGTAAATATTACAAAATCACCAAACAACACACTACAATAAAATAAAAAACAAGTGGAAAAATTCATTTTTATAAATTAAGAATGTTACATTGGACATACGAACCTGTACCTATATTTTACCAGGCTATTAATACCCATCAAATCATCACAAATTATATTTTATATTTTACTATTATTGTACATTGTACAATATATTTATATTATATTTTTATTGTGTACGATTTAATATTAGGCATTAGGTAATATTAAGTAAATACTGGCTGGCTAGAAGTGGATACAGGATACCTATATTAGGAATCGATTAGTATAATAAAGTCATTATAAGTTATAATAGGGTGTGGATATAAAAGCAATAAAAAAACAAGAAAGATATCTTCAAAAAAATACGATTTTATGCACTAATAACAATATTATGAGCCTTAATAAAATGCTCAGAAAAATTAAAAGCCAATTTAAATGAATATAAAATAGAACTAATATTAATAGAATAGAAGAATTTATTATCTAATCTATGACTGCAACGTAATAATATGCCGATGTTACAAACCTAATATTTGATATAACCATATATAACTATAATCATTATAAACAATTTGTGTTTCCGCTAAAAACGTCAAATAAAAAAAAACTTACGTAAAACAAAGAAAACTTTTTTTCATAAGATTTTTCTATTTTTTGGTGTTTTTGATCTGGGGGTGCTAAATTAAAGGCTCCCCCTAGTTGCACCTATGCCCCTCTACTACCTTTCAAAGAGGAGTGTGATTTTATAAAATGCCCCGCCGGCCCGGGGTGCATATAATTTATAAATACGGCCCCGTGATACTATATAGGTCTGATTCAATTTCATAGATTTAATTATTTACAATTAAATGGTGAATAATATAAAATAATAATTATGGTAAGAACTCGGCGTTTTCCATCACATCATGTATGTCTGTAAAACAAACTTAAAAACTTGTGCGATAATATTAAGGATTATGGCGTTTAAATTATTTTGACGTTTGGTCGCCGAATGAGGGCTATTCGGTGTTTTCTGTCACGAATAAAAATGTGTCGAATTACATTTTTGTCGTAAAGGCGGGATACACGGTGCGTAGTGGGTTGTAGAGCATGTATATACCACGCACGTTAAAACCGACGCACCGTTTGGAATTTATTTATTTATTTATAAAATGATTGGATAAGACACGGCGCAGCAATTTTCCTTAGGTGCAGGCTACAGAGACCGACAATTTTATTATTGTCGGGAAGAGACGCGCGGCGCATCCAAATCTTGCCGCGCAACATAAAATAATCAGACGGCGCGTCAACTGTACCGCACTGTACCGCTCCCATAGTGGTTTGAATCCGCGGTGGTTATTATAATTAGTCGCATACCTTCAAGAATTGACCCCCAGGAATATTGACATGATCGGTCGCAGGCGGTTTTGCATGTATGAATTATGAATATGCCAATATTGAATAACCCATGTTTAATTGTAGGCGGTTATCCGCTGGCGGATAAAAACCGCGACCCCGCGCGGACAAACCGCTCAGTGTGTAACCAGCTTAGTCAATTAGTCAAATAAAAAACAAATAATATAATTGGATCCAACAGAAAACACCGCTGTAGTCAGCTGTAAATACTAAATTGTAATTCCTATAGGTACCTATGTACGATGTACCTACTATATTATATAACTAAATAGATAGCGTACAGCCCCCGCACCCCGCTGCACCGGGCAGTAAAAATAAATAAGAATATAAAAATAAAATACTTGTTTGATGGGTAATTCCAATTTCCGTTATCCGTATACAATATCTATTTAAGCTAATTGTTTATCAGTAAATCCAATGCGGCCCGACCACGACTCGCGTCGCTTCTCCCCGCCAAAACCGTTATGTCCGTTGCCGCATTATAACTAGCAATGAGCGAACCAGCGAAGGCGTCGCGACGACGCTGCAAGTAGCCTTTAGCGCGACTCGTTATATTTGATATTTTGTCAAGACGGCAACTGTTATTGCAATCTGTGTTTTTGAGTTTTTGACTTCAGTCTTCAAGTACTCCACGTCTCCACGTCTACACTCTGTACGCGTAACTGCGTAAGTACCTATAATTGTATTATACTTATATATATTATTATAATCATCTACCTTCACATTACCTATTATCTATTGACAATACTATAGTATTAAGAAAATTATATTATATTATTTATTATTGTGAGGTATACCTAGGTTATAGATATAGAGGTTAAGTACTTAGGTAGGTACCTACCTATTATACCAATGTTCTTTGAACATCGGAGACTGACATCAATATTTATATTTCATAATCAATAATGATTATCTATTATAAAATATAGATTATTTTCTACATTATAATTTGAAGATTACTGTTCATAGCTAGTCATAGGACTATAGGTACCTATAACTAAAAACACATTTTATTTACCTATTAAATTAGATAATATCAAACGTATATTGATGATTATATTTTACATTATAGTATGATTTAATTATAATGTATTATACCTATACCAAAATAGTTATTGGCGGGTCATAACCATAAGATATGTTCCGCTCTAAATCAAACATTTTAATTCAGTCTTTTTTGATGACTATTAATTTAATTTTTCCATTTCAATGGCTTGCTTGATGTACCCTAGCTACAGATCTGATAATAATTAAAAAATTAAATTTTAAATCATACCAGCATAGTTATTGGTATAGTTGCATATCTTACATATATGAATATTAGAGAATAGAGATTAGCAAAACTTTTATTATTTTTTTAATACAGCACTTGATACTTAGACCTATTTATAAAAGAATTTTATATTAGTTATACATAATATGTACCTACTATATTAAAGATAATTTCTTATTTAATATTTAAATATGATGTGATAGCATTTATGAATTTACTACCGTAGATGTAAAAAGTTTCTGAGCCTATTTTATGCTTTTATTATTACCTATAATTAATATTCTAAGTATATTATGTTTTAACAGAAGTCCATAAATAATATTAAGATTTTTGATAGATGAAAACAAATTGTGTCACCTCTTTGGTTCATTAACATTTTATTGATAAAAAAGTAGGTACCTATAATCAATATATAATATTATAATATGCCATGTGATGTGTAGCGCTGAAATTAAAATAAAGTATATATAGTGATGAAAGTAGAAAATTATTTCAATATGTTGTTATATCTATACCTAAGTACTTTGTTATTTTATAAATTGTGTTAATTGTTCATTTAATATTAATTTTTTTCATTTAAATTAAATCTGTATTTATAACTTATATTTTATTTATTCACATATTTGAATAGTTGCTAGGATAATACATAGACTTTAAATAAATTAAAAGTAGATTTCTTTTTTTATTACAGGTATTATAAATTATAATAATAATTTTAATTTTCACTATGGCTAGCTATAGTAATAAACGAAGGAAAATACAAATTGAATTACAAGGTTTAGAATCTACTGATTATGATACAGATGATACTAATTTAGTTATCTCGCCACTGAAGGAATCTGACAAATTAATTGAAAATAAAAATATTAATGTTGACAGTTATAACAGCTATAAGTCTGATGAGTCTGAAAGTGATCCAAGTAGAAATGAATTAAATAAGAATCTTTCAGAATTCAATTTTATTGTATCTAGTGATAAAGAGGAAATAGTACCAATTATTGAAAAAAAAAGTCTAGAGGAATTTAAAAAAAATAAACTTTGTCACTGGGCGGTAAATTATAATGTTCCTCAGACTGCAGTTGATGGGCTTCTTAATGTTTTGAAAAATTATTTTGATTTAGATTTCCTCCCCAAAAGTTGTAAAACATTGATGGGCTTAGGATCATCTAAAGTAATTAACATACGTCAAGTAGAGCCGGGTATGTACTACCATTTTGGTTTAGCTTTCGGTATTAAGCGATTTAAATCAATTATTAATTTTTCTGACAGTCTTATAAAAATTTCATTAGGAATTGATGGCCTCCCAATATCCAAAAGTAGTGGTAGTTGTTTTTGGCCAATTTTAGCTTATATTCAGCCTTATAGTAAGCATGTATTTATCGTCGGAATTTATCATGGATATGAAAAGCCTAAAGACAGCAATATATTCCTTAAAGATTTAATTGAAGAAATTTTAGATTTAACTCAAAATGGAATTATGATAAATAATGTGAAAAAACAAATTTCTATTAATGTCATATGTTGTGATTCGCCGGTCAAATCCTTTATTATGAGAATTAAAACTCATTCTGGATATTTTTCATGCCCTCGATCAGGGGTGGCGAACCTTTTTTGGGTCAAGTGCCAAAATTTAAAATCAAGTTTTTTGAAATATGCTCGCGTGCCAAAAAAAAAAAAAATTTTTTCTAGGTAAGATGAAAAGAAAAAGCATGTAATAATTACACCCATTTTATTAGGTATATAATTTAATAAATAAATAGTATATATGTAAAGTTTTATTTCATTTATTAATGTGATTTCTGTTGTTGTTTTTTAGAAGATAACATTTTAATATCTGGAGTATAGTTGGTAGTTTTCAGTGAAACACAAGCAGCACTAGTTTCATCGATTAATGTATTTCTCTGCTTCGTTTTTATTAAATTCATTATGGAGAATAAACTTTCACAAGCATAAGTTGACGAAAAAATTGATAGGATAGATCGAGCAACTTTTTTTAATGTATTAAATGTGTTTGGAAGCGAGTTCCAGACTTTAAGAATTTCATTATCTGCATTTTTTACCGCGTTTGCTTGAAGACGGTTGATTTCTATTTCTTCGATTAGTTGTCTTAAGTCAATGAATTTTTGTTTCCACGTATTACAGGATTGAAGATCAATTAACTCAAATTCAAATGTATCTATATTCATCCATTCAAAATAATGTAAATCTAATTCATCGAAATTGCAAGTATCAGGGCATTTGAGGAACTTAATATTACACTCAAACTTTTTAAAATCTATAAACCTGTTATTGAACTGCTGAATTGTTTCCTTTATGATACTTAAAAATTTTTTTATATTTTCATCTAATTTAGGAGTCTCGTTGATTTCAATTTCACTCAAGAATTTGTTTAAATGTTGAAAATATTTAAATTTATGATTTTCTATATCACGTATAAATACATTTAATTTTGTTTCAAAGCTTTTTATTAAACTAAACATGAACTCTAAATTTTTTCCGGTACCTTGCAATTTTAAATTGAGTTCATTTAAATGCAAACAAAAATCAGTAAAAAACATTAAATTGCACAACCAATTTATATCTGTTAATTCAGTATAATTTTTTTGGTTTTCACTCAAAAATAAACGAATTTCGTGTAAACATTCTACAAATCGTTCTAAAAGGTTGCCTCTACTAAGCCAACGAACATTATTGTACATCACGAGTCCTTTATGAATAGAATTTACTTCTTCTAATAATAAACTGAATTGCCTTTTATTTAATGCTCGGGCGTTTATAAAGTTTACAATTTTTGTTACAAGCTTTAAAATATTTTCATACTGCAATAGTCCATCCTTAGCACACAGCGCTTCCTGATGAATTATACAATGAAAACCAATTAAAGGATGTCCAATTTTCTTTGAAAAAAGGTTAACAAAACCACGGTCTTTTCCAATCATACAAGGGGCGCCATCGGTAGTTACTGATATAATTTTAGATAAATTTAATCCAATATCTTCAAGGACATTTACAACAACTTCACATATATTTTCACCAGTAGTTTTAGCTGGTATAGATGCTAATTTTATAAGTTCTTCACGAACTTCATCGTTAATACAGAAACGAGAAATTATTGAAAGACGCGCAGACGATGTTATATCTGTACTCTCATCGATGCAAATAGAAAAAAATGAACTTTGATTTAAATCGTGTATTAATTGATTTTCAATATTAGAATTCATACTTAGTATTCTCTCTTTAATAGTATTTCTACTGATTGACAAGTCTTTAATACGTTGTATAATTGCATCTTTATTATCAAAGTCTTGAAAAAGGTTATCAGCGCAATCTAACCAAGACATTTTAATAAAATCTCCATCACTAAACGGTTTTCCCCGAATAGCGATAGACTTTGCAACATCAAAACTGGCAGACACTAAATTATCAGATTTTTTAACAAATTTAATTAATTTATCACTCTGTGCATCTTTATTTGATAGTGCACGTGAAATAAAACATTTTAGTTCATCGGCAGATTTTGTTAATAGTGTTTTATGAATAGTTTCAAAATGACGTTTGACAGATGAAGTCCGACATACAACACTTTCTGAACACAGTACACATAACGCTTTATTATTTTTGAATATCATACCATATTTGAATGTCCACCATTCTTGAAAGTTTCGACTCGTTGATTCTTCAGAACATTTCATTTTTTTTGAAAGTGACATATTAATAAAATACTCGTATTTATTTATCAATAATCACGATAGTTGACGACGGCCGACGGGTAACTAAATTAAAAGTTCGTTTGAACGGCTGACAAAGTGCAATTGTTGTTATCGCAACCGGTCGCGGTATCGGTAAATTTAAAATAAACTTCGTAATCGAATGTTGGGTACTTTTTACTTCTATCGTAGCGATATGAGTACAAAAACCATAAATATTATTTATTATAACATTTATAAACACATTTTATTACAAACTTATAAATTTGATTCTTAAAATTTCTTATAATAAAGTTTTAAAATATAATTTTTTTTTTAAGATAAATAATATTTGCGTGCCACTGAAATTTGGTCAACGTGCCACTTCTGGCACGCGTGCCATAGGTTCGCCACCCCTGCCCTAGATGTACTCACGAAGGAGAGTATTTTTCAAGTGTTTGTTTTCCGTTTAATAGTAATGGCAATACTGAAAGATATCATGCCGATTATATTTGTATGAAGGATGAAGAACACCATACACATCCTACAATATCATGTCTTGCACTAATACCGAATACAGATATTGTGAAACTATTTTCAATGGATTATATGCACTTAGTATGCCTTGGAATTACTAAAAAATTACTTGGTCTTTGGTTAGGATTAGGTAAAAACAAATCAAATGGTCGTTTGTCGAGTCGGCAGATTCAGCAAATTACCGATGGGATTTTAAAAGTTAAAGGCAGTATAACGTGTGATTTTGCTCGAAAACCTAGGCCTGTAAAAGAAGTTTTAAGGTGGAAAGCCACAGAATTTCGTCAGTTTATTCTTTACACTGGAATCATTGTACTGAAAGATATTTTACCCAAAGATAGTTATAACAATTTTTTAGCTCTTTGTATATCAATGAGAATTCTGTTATGTGAAAATAATCATCATTATTTAAATTTTACTCGTGAAGTTCTAAAATATTTTGTAGAATCATTTCAATACATATATGGTGTTAAATATGTATCACAAAATGTACATGGATTATTGCATTTATGTGACGACTATGAAAGACATGGCTCCCTCAATGTGTGTAGTACATTTCCCTATGAAAACTTTATGAAAGTACTAAAAAAAATGATCCGCAAACATGACAAACCATTACAACAGGTAGTTCGACGATACACTGAATATTGTAACAATAATGAAATTTTAGAAATTTACAATACTAATAAATTACAATTTAAAACTAAAAAACCAGATTGTTATGTTCTTACTAAAGATGATGAAATTGTTCAAATAACAGATTTAAAAAAATCAATTGCTGAAAAATGCTCTATAGTTGTTGGTAAAACATTTATTGAAAAAAAAGAGCTTTTAACTATGCCTTTAAAATCATCTAAATTAGATATTTATATAGTTCAAAATTTGTCTGACATTGAAAAACAATGGAAAATGTCTGATATCAAAAAAAAAATGATTATGTTTGATTTCAAAAATACAATGATAGCTATACCAATTCTTCATTATGATTAATTTATAAAATTAAAATTTAACTGTAAATATCTGTAATATAATTATACCTTTAATTTTAAGAAAAGCATATAATATTACAATAATAAAATAATATATACCAATTGTAAATATGAGTTTGGACCAATATAATTTACTTATAACTAGCTGGAATATAAATAGTAGGTAATTCTAAAATGTATTTAGAAATTCATAATGTTAATAATTTATTGGAATACCTAATAGCTAAATGTCCATATTTTTTTTTCAGAACCATGTGGATCGTTGTTTATTTTAATGCAGATATGTCTGTTGAATGTGTCCCAAGTATCTGGTACAATAAGGGATCATGTGCCTGGCCAAAAAAGAGAGCCAACATAAGTAGTTTCATAGAAAAATGTATTGATCCTGATGAACGATCAGATGAATTTCGCTTTTATGATGCAAGAATTTTAAGCAAAAATCCTTTTGGTAATTATATTGGTTATATAATGATAATTAAGAATCAATTAAAGTAGGTACCTCTAATGCTTAATTTTGTTTTTAAATATACTTTTAGATGATATTAATATAGCTCGAAAGAAAGCAAAGAAAGCACAACAAACATCAGATTTATCCAGTACTGAAAATGAAAGCTATAAAGAAAAACCAAAATTTAAAACCAGTTTGTTTCCTCCAAATAGATCTGAAAAGTCTTCATCTGTATGCGTTATTACTGAAGAAAATAATGGACCAACTTTCCCTGATTTTAATTCATTATTTAATGGTAACTATTGCTTTACATTATTTAAATACTTGCTTGTAAAAGTACCTATATTGGTAAAATTATTATTTATTATACTTAAGACTTAGATGAAGAATTGGAACTTAATGATAATGGTATAAATCATACACCTGAAAATTGGTTGAATACACCTGCAAGTAATAAAGATATAAACTTAAATGAATTTGATGAAAACCAAGTCTTACTAAACGATAATAATCCATCATCGACTAAAAAAATAAAATTAACTTCTGATGTACACCAATATACAACACCAATTATGAAACCAGTAGCAGTGCACAGTGAAAGTGATAAAAAAGGTAAATATGACTAGTTGAATAATATGTAATAATATACCAACTTTGGCTATAATACTATAGCAAATTGTGGTAATATCAGTGTTTGCTTATTGGGGGAAGGACCCTAAGGGACAGAGTACCCCAACTAATTTTTCAAAAATGTTAGTGTATCTCTTCTATTATTTTTTAGGAGAACATACAGGACACTTCATCATTTTGCATTTTTATCGAAATGGGCGAGATACCTAGGTACCATCATAATATTTGTCTTATGGATTATTTCTTAAACCAATTACAGTAAAGTCTTGATAACTCGAATGTCAAGGGAGATAAAAACTAATTTGAGTTATCGAAATTCGACTGTAATATTAAGTATAATTATTACTAAACTATTAATTTATTAACTTTTATTATCTCATTGAGTTTGCCATTATTTATAACAATAATATAATATTATATTTATAGGCACCTTCAGTAATTACCTGTTTTATATTAACTAAAATTTTTTTTTTTAAATTTATTATTAAAGTATATATTTTTTATATAATTTAAAGAGGGGTTTTAGGCAGTGTGGGGGCAGAGACCCCACGTCTCAATAATGTTTAGCAAGTGATGGGGATACTGTTTTTTTAAAAGTAAATATGCTTCTCTCTACTTTAATTTTCCCAAGTCGAGCACTAGGTAGTATACCTAATATAAGATAAAATCATGCATTGTAAAATAACAGTAATATTTTAAAAAATTTCAGCTTATTCTTATAAAATTGTAAACCGAAATATTATAACATTAAAACATGAAGTGAAAAATATGCAAGATCGATTAGATATAGTAATCAATATGCAAGAAAAAATGTATGAACATTTGTGTAATTCACAAGTTAAAAACAATGCTTCTTTAGATGAATTCAATGATTTTGATATAATGTGTATTGATAATGAAGCGGACCTGAACATTATGGAACAAAAGTTAACTGAGGATGAATTGTTCAAGAAATCTATGGTAAAATAAATTATTTATATATATATTACATTTATTATGTAGTCATGCAACAAGATTAATAATTACATATTTATAGATTAAACAGTTAAGCCGTTTGATGGGACAAACCATACCTGAGACAGTGAGGAAAGTTATGAAAACTCTTTTCACTGATTCATTTCTCAGTGAATTTTCTTACATCGGATTTAAAGGAAAAAATAATTTCTCAACACTAAAAACTTGCTAAGTCATATTTGGTGATTAAATTTATTAAATAATACACAAATACACCACACTAAATGAATATATAAGTAATTGGAATATGTAACCAGCTAATCATTGAAAAACATATATAATTTATTTTTTCAAAACAATTTAATTATTGTTATTTACTCTCATTTTAACAAATAATTACAGAAAGTTTTTCTTGGCCTAAACAGTGCTGATAACTGCAGTTTAAGTTTGATCTTATTGAGAACCTTTTTGGTAATTTAATACATGCCCTGGAATATTGTATCTTTTATATTATATATATCATTGCAAATATCTACACTTAAGATCTGATTGTAATTATTTATTTGCTAATAATAAAATATTGATATTTAACATGTATAGAGTCAATCCGAAAAATGAAAAAATTTTCCAATTCCACTGATTTTGAAATTGAAAAGCCTCTCAAAAATTGGATGGCGCAGGCTACTCCACGACTGAAAAAAATTGTACTACCTGACCAAGGCGAAAAGCATAATTCACTCAATACAAACAGTAGTTAAAGTTCATTAAAATATTTCTTTTTTTTTAAGTTGTTAATAATATAAATTTATTGTAATACATTTTTTGCAAAGGTCTGCAAAATTGCATAATTTATAATAAATTATTACTAGTAATAGTAATGAATAAAAGGTTAGAAATATTTATTTTTATTTTTAATATGATTTTTTGCAAATTAAGTTTTTGCCATTGTGTAGATTTTTAATTTTAATTTTTTAATTATTATATTTTATAAAATAAAAAAGTTGATTTATACTAATATATTTGTTTATAAACAAAGTAAATAATATACAAGTTCAATATAATATTGGTTTTTATCTTTATTAAACTCGATTATACCCTGCAGTTTTACATATACTTACATGAGATTATAAAGTGTATATTATATGTATAATAAATAAAGTAAATACATTTAATGTTTTGGAAAATGGTTTATCCTATACATTTTATGTATGTATTTTTTATATTTATTATGTGTATGATACAATATGTAAATATTGTAAATATTTTGAAAAGGTGTTTGCTCAAATATATACATAATTTTTAAGAGCCAATAATGAGTAAATATTTCAATCAAATATGTTCGAAATATTCATAAGTCTTAATTTGTAAATATTTAGGTACAATATTTAAAATATATTTTGAAACAATTTAATTACAATATTTTATCTTCTACAGTTATGTGATGTGAAAAT